ATGTGGAAGCTGAGGAAGTACTGACTGTACCCTAATCAAAAATCCTATTATCCTTGATTCTAAATGAAACTTACACCAGCCTGATTTTCATCTCACAGTCTTTCCTGTGATTCCAAGATCCAGAAGACACAGAAGTGCAGTGAACTTTTCCATTTTGCTTTAAAAGAAAGGGTAGATTTCATAGCCTCCCACCACAGCCCTCAGGTTGGCATTACACTACAGGGTGAACAGCACCTGATTTTTTTTGTAAAGATGTCTGCTACTTGCCTCCTCTGGACAGAAGTGGTATCTTAGGGCTGGCTCATTCATTCCACTGCCTGGAAAGTAGACTCTATAGAGTTTAATTCAGCATCCTTCCCACATGCCCCCTGGTGGCTCTGTTCATAATGACACCATCCCACTTGTGAGGGGCACCTGATGAGAAGCAAAAAAAAAAAAGGGGCCCTCCTGTTGTTCTGCCTCCTTGTCAGGTTTCCATTGACTCTGAAAACTGGAAGGGAACTGATAAAATATATTGTTCAAACTCTTGTGGGGAACGGGAAGAATGGAGAGAATAAACATTTGGCACTGTAATAATTTTTATAAATTATTATCTCATTTACAAATTATTACCTTTACAAATATCATCTCATTTGATCATCACAACAACCCTTAGGTGCTGTTATTATCCCCATTTTACAGTTGAGGAAACTGAGGCAAACAGAGATGACTTGTCCTGGGTCACTCAGGTAGTAAGTGTCTTTGAATTTAGCTCTTCCTGACTCCAGACCCAGCAATCTATCTACTGTGCCAGCTAGCTGCCTCTAGGTAGACATTCATACTGCTGCATGTTCCCACAAGGAGCTCATAGCAGTGGGAAACATGCTGGATTTGAACTCTGCCTCTTTCTAGGTGCGTAACTTTGGGTAAGTCACTTATCTTCCCCTGGCTTCAGTTTCTTCATCTGTAAAATTAGAGGGTAGGACTAGACAATCTCTAAGGGCCCCTGCCAGCTCTAAATCTCTGATCCTAAGATCGTGTCTCAAATTGAACTCATTATCTTTTCCCCTAAACCTGTTCTTCTAATTTCAGACTATGCTTCAACCATGACTCATGATAGAATACAATGGGTTGTGCCTCACCATCATTCTCTGTTACCTTATCCCCATACAGGCTTCCCAGCACTGGTTGCACTTTAACTCATCCCCCACTAGGCTGGGGACTTGGAATACTCCTTGCACTCCATTGCTACTTCTAAGCTAATCTTCTTCCACCATCACTTGGTGACCTCTCCTTCTTTGAGGTTATTCATTCCATATCCACCATGCCATGGAAATTCTGGTAGCTGTTGTTTACCAACCTCCTGGACACTCCCCCTTCTTTCTTCACTGCATTCAGTGCCAGGCTTATAGTCTTTCTCCCTCCTCAATCCTGACTTCATAGTAGAGGACTGAAACCTATGTACTTTTAAAATATCTATTTCATTCTGAACTTAAGAAATAAAACAAGCATTTCCATAACATAGGAGAATAGAAAAAAAAAAAGATGACTGCACATGAAACTGCAAATCTATTATGTATAACTTGCTATTCATTTTAAATATATAATAATATAATATTAATTATTATATACAAATATATGATTATATATAAATATATAATATATGATAATAAAGCGATGTACCTTTCTTTTTTTCTTCCCCCCTCACACATGGGTGTGTGTGTAAAATCATTCTATGCATACTTCTATTTATCAGTTCTTTCTCTAGATGCAGAGAATGTCTTCCTTCACATGCCCTTTGTTGTTAATTTGGGTATTTATAATAATCAAAATGACTTAGTTGCTCTAAGCTGTTCTTAAAACAATATTGCTGTTACTGTACACAGTGTTCTCTTGGTTCTGCTCATTTCACTCTTCATTATTTCAAGCAAGTCTATGCACAAAATAATGAAGTGTAACCTGCATATTGAATATTCCCTCAAGCACTCCAACCTTCCGATTCCTCAACATACTCCTTTACCATGACCTCCTCTTCCATCTCATCCCAGCTACACACAGAGATGGTCATATCCTTGAAATTGCTATTACCCCAAATGTACCACTTCCATGTTCATGTACTCTGCAATTCCCTTCTGTTGTTGTATATATACTTACACTATACTTACATATGTTTATATATTTTTGTTGTTCTTGTTCAGTCATTTTTCAGTCGTGTTTGACTCTTGGTGACCCCATTTGGGGTTTTCTAGGCACAAAGTGATTTGCCATTTTCTTCTCTAGCTCATCTTACAGATGAGGAAACTGAGGCAAACAGAGTTAAGTGACTTTCCCAGGGTCACATACCTAGTAAGTGTCTGAGGCCAGATTTGAACTCAGGAAGAGAAGTCTTCCACATGTCAGGCCTAGTTCTACCACTCCCTCTGCCTTGCAACCCCAAACCTGTTGTGTGTCCTTACCTTGACCTGCAATCCCACAGTCCCTTAGTTGTGACTCCAGTCCATCACCTGTGCCCTGGCTATTCGGTCTTCTAGTCATCATCTTCACTGCCCTTCATAACTTGTTCCACTCCCTTAAACTTTCCAGCCTCCACACAATTGCTCATCCCTACATACTCTGTGATCCAGTGACACTAGCCTCCTTACTCTTCTATCTATAAGGCATTCCATCTCTTGACCTCAGGAATGTCTCCCATGCCTAGAATTCTCTCCTTGCTCATTTCTGCCTCCTGCCTTCCTTCAAGTCCCAGCTGAAGTCCCACCTTCTTCAAGAAGTCTTTCCTGATCTCCCTTACCACTAATGTACATCATTGTTTGCATGTTATCTCCCCTCTTAGACTATGAGCCCTTTGAGAGCAGGGACTGTCTTTTACCTTCTTTGTATCCCCAGTGCTTAGTTAGCACTGTGCCTGGAATACAGTAGGGGCATGACAAATGCAGTAGGCTCTGATTAGTCTAGTCTGGCCAAAAGGCAGGTTCTTTCTATGTCAAACTCAGGTAAAAGCTTCCCTTGGGTTATTCAATTCAGAGATAATGATACTTTGTAACATTCATATCATGCTGTAAGCTTTACAAAGCATTTTCCTCACAATAATCTTGTGAGGTAGGTAGTACTATTGTGATAATTCCCATTTTTTAAAGACGAGGAAGCTTAAGTTGATTTGTTTGCTCTCTATCTACTATGCTGTGGAACTTTTTTTTTCAAAAACAAAACACCTTCACAGTAGATGGCAGAAAAATGGCAAATGTCAGAAATAACAGACTTGTTGTTACAGTGTTTTCATAATCAAATGCAGTTTTCTGCCTCCCTGCATCAACTCCAATTATATTAGTAAATATTATCTTAGCAGAATGTTTGAGACCTTTTCCTAATAATGCCTCCCTCAGGCTCACTCACCCAACTTACATTGGTGCTGGCAAACCTATTTCTCAGAGGGACTTACTGCTACTACTTTCAAATTCTAGGGTAACCTGTTTGGTGTCTGTCCTCACATTAGCCTCCACTGGTATGCTTCCTCTTAACAATCAGCCAATCGGTTCATTTCTTTAGCAAATGGACTTAGTCAACAGGTATAGTAAGAACAGTAGTTACAAAGCATTTCCCCTAACAAGAGGGGTGTACACCACCTCAAATACACACAGAGTCAATGATGGCGGGAAGATAATGGGTATGAACTTAAAGTACAAGAGTAGCAAGGCACATGTGTAGGAAACACACATAGCCAAGGAAATTCACACCTCCAGAACTGTTTGCCCTTTCTTTCTCCAAATAGCCCTCACTGAATTTGCTGTGAGTTATGGTGTTGGTGACAGATCATTAGCTCATCTGGCTGGCTGGTCTGGCACCTACAAGGGTAGGATATCTGCAATGGATGATAAACTGATCTGGGCTTGCTCCTTGTAGGGACTGGGAGGTGCTGGCTAGATGTGCCAGTCCACTGCTAGGCTACTGGTCCAATCCACTCTTGGCCTTTAGACTTGGTGGATGTCCCAAACCAAAAACCTGCTGACCAGACACATTTCCATATGTAGAAGATAGGGAATGATAGAAGCAAAAGTCCAAGTATCACAATAGTCATATTAATCTTTGAGGTAGCAAAGACCTGGAAATAAAATGGGTGCCCATTGTTTGGAAATAGCTGACACCCCCCCAAACTCCTAACTATAGTATATGAATGGAATGTAATAGTATTGTGGAACAATAAACAATATGAAGAATTCAGAGGAGCATAGAAAGATGTGTATCAGCCGATCCAGAACCAAGAGAACGATATAACCAACGACAAGTGAATGAAAAGTCACTAAAGGACGTCAAATTCTGAGTAATTAAAAAAAAAAAAGGAAAAGCAATCAAAGTCCCTCGTAACAGATTATCTCCCCCTCACAGAAAGGCAGCACTAATAGGACCAAATATATGGGTAGATCGGGTCACAGGTGCAGATATTTTGGGCCATGATGTTTGAGAGAGATGTTCTCTCTCTCTCTCTCTCTCTCTGTCTCTTTCTCTTTCTCTGGTCATAAAGGAGAGTTCAGTTTGGAAGGAGTGGTGCAAGGAAATGTGATGCAAAAAAAAAGTTACAATAAAATGTATTTATATTTCTTTTCAGAGAAATAGGATTTGTCTTAGGCGTTTCTAAAGTTGAGGATTTTGATCCCTGGGTGCAAAGCTTTAACTTCCTAAGTGGAGTTGAGGAACTCGGGACCAAGCTGAAGAGACAAGAGGGGGTGGTAAAGAATTTTGCAAATAAATTTGTAAGTAAAACAAATTGTAACTATAATGGGTCCGCAAAATATCTTTAAAGGTACGAATAAATACACAACAGGCACAAACCCCGCAATTACAGGTGTACACAAGGGTTTCTAATCAGTTTGTGAGTGCAATCCTGGGTTGTAGGAAAGATAAAGCAGCAGTAAGGTTCTGCCCGAGGCCGGTCACTGCACCCAATGAGCATTTTTCTCTCCCACCCTTCCCCACTCCCCTTGGAAACCGAAAGCGAAATCCTGGCTCCCTCTTTCGGCTATCGCTTGCTTTGGCCTGGCGGGGGCCGGGGAAAGCCCGATTGGTGGCACGGGGACTGGCTGCACAGGGACGCTGGGAAGCCCAGGACAGCATGGAGGGGCCGCCGGCGCCTGGGAACGGGGACATCTCGCTGCACAACTTCAGCGCCAGGCTGTGGGAGCAGCTCATCCACTTCCACGTGATGCGGCTGACGGATTCGCTCTTCCTGTGGGTGGGCGCGACGCCCAACCTGCGCAACCTCGCCGTGGCCATGTGCAACCGTTACGTGAGTCGCCGGGCACGGGCGCGGGCACGGGCGCGGGAGGAGTTTCTGGGCTTAGTAGAAGGCGGCCCTGGAGCGAGCTCCTGCAAGGGCTGGGCGCACTTGGCGCTGCTGAGGGTGCAAGGGGGTGGACCTTGCCTTTCCTTGGGTGGATGAGAAATGGGATTTGCACTAGTCGGTGCTTGGGCTCTTGGCAGTTTGGGGAACGTACGCATCCAGGTGGATGCTGTTCCTAGAAGGCTGATTGGGCTCCTGTGCAACCTTGTCTTTTATTTCCTTCTGAATCTCCAACCCCACTTCATCCTACTGCCTTTTTTCCCCTGTTATTTTACTGCCCTTCTCCGACATCCCTAAGGAAATGAACATGGGGTAGGAGGATGCTGGCTATGGCATAAATGAGATTGATGGTTTCTCCGATGCTAAGCGTGCAGGTCATGGGGGTTAGGGGTGGAGATTAACCACATTCAGTTATGCGTTTCCCTAGTGGGGACCCCAATCTTCCCTAGGGAGGTCACATTTTACAACACATACTTACATTATAAATACAATATTATTATTAAAAAAAATTTTATATCACCTTCAAGTCTCTCATCTCTTCCCTACTAAGAGCCATGCTTTATGACAAAGATTTTTTTTTAAAAAGGAAAAATAAACAGCATGACAAAAATAATCAACATATCAGTTATGTTTGACAGTCTATGCAATGTTTCACATTCATAGTTACCTCTGAAAAAATGAGGCAGGTATGTTCTCATGTCTCTTGGAGCTAAGCTTCATCATATAATTATACAGCATTCACTTTTGATTTTTCTTGTGGTTATCTGTTCCACTTCCGTTGTTGTAGTCATTGTTTATATTGCTTTGTGGCTTTTGGATCACATCTTATAAGTTTTCCCATGCCTCTCCTTCTTCACATTCAGCATATGAGTGCAGTAACACATCACCACGCTCAGGTTACATGGTTTGTTCATCCCAGTCAATGGGCATCTACTTTGTTTCCGGTTTGCTATAAATTCCACATTGTATGTCTTTTTCCTCCTTTCACATATTCCTCCTACCAGTGGGATCTTGGGCGGTTAGATGGCTGGGGCCTGGAGTCAGGAAAACATGACTTCAAATTTGGCCTCAGATACTTACTAGCTGTGTGACCCTGGCCAAGTCACTTCACCCTGTTTGTCTCAGTTTCCTCATATGTAAAATGAGCTGGAGAAGGAAATGGCAAACCACTCCAGTATCTTTGCCAAGAGAACCCCAAATGGGGTCACAAAGAGTCTGATGAGACTGCACAACAAAAAGTCAGATCTTTGGATCAGGGTCTCCCTCTTTTTTCAGTAAGGTCAGGTCATCCTCCTAACTTTTCATGACCTACTTCTACCTTAGCTACATTTATACCAACATCCATTGATGCCTTAATTAATGATCTTCCAACTCAGAAATTCTTCCCAGGATCTTCACCTCCTGTCCTTTCTTCTCTCCCTCTGTTCTCACTCCTTTAAAGTTAAATCTTTCTTTTTTAAAAATTTATAACTTAAATATTGAAAACATGAAAAATTTTAATATATGAAGTTTTGCATATGAAATTTTGAACCTGTTGCTGATAGTTTTTGCATATTAAATGTAACAAGGTTGTAACAAGACTACTTTGCTTGTGTGTGTGTCCTTTTTTGAACTTCCTCCTCCCTTATTTGCATTTTTAATATTTTATATAATGCTTTACTACACTCTTATTTAAACTTTATTCTCACTGCATCTTCCAGGCACTCTATCCTATTCTTTTTTTTTTCTTTTTGGTGAGGCAGTTGGGATTAAGTGAGTTGCCCAGGGTCACACAGTTAGTAAATGTCAAGCGTCTGAGGCCAGATTTGCACTCAGGTCCTCCTGACGCCAAGGCCAGAGCTGCATCCACTGCACCACCTAGCTGCCCCATATTCTCCTGTTCTAATCTGATTTTCTTCTTTTCACAGTCTTGACCCTGTAATTGATCATTTCCATCAATCTCAACTGGGCCTTTACTATTGGACTTTTGGCAGGACTTTTATTCTTCACCGGTGGATCCTGTTCCATTTGCCTCACTGGCTTTTTTCACTTCCTTTCCTCAAGCTTCCAACATCTTCCCCTCCTCTCTCCTAGCAGATATCCTTAGCTCCAGTTGTTCTGAGAAAAAGAGACCATCAGTGTTGGAGAAGATGTGGGAAAATTAGAACACTAACGCATTGTTGGTGGAGTTGTGAAATGATCCAGTCATTTTGGAGAACAATTTGGAACTATGCCCAAAGGCTATAAAAATGTGCATACCCTTTGACCCAGCAATAGCACTTCTAGGGCTATATCCCAAAGAGATCATACAAATGGGAAAAGGACCCACATGTACAAAAATTTTCATAGCAGCTCTTTTTGTGGTGGCAAAGAAGTGGAAATTGAGAGGATGCCCATCAATTGGGGAATGGCTGAGCAAGTTGTGGTATATGAATGTAATGGAATACTATTGTGCTATAAGAAATATTGAGCAGGCAGACTTCAGAAAAACCTGGAAAGACTTGTATGGTCTGATGCTGAGTGAAGTGAGCAAAACCAAGAGAATGTTGTACATAATAACAGCCATGTTGTGAGATGACTAATATTGACAAACTTACCCCTTCCCAGCATTACAAGGATCTAAGACATCTATCTCCAGAGGCCTTGTGATGGAAAATGCTATCCATATCCGAAGAAAGAACTATGGAAGTTGAATCGCTATCATTTTTTTTTCTCTCCTGTTGAGTTTTGTTTCCTCTTTCTGATGGTTCCTCCTACTGGTTTCAATTTTTACTTACAACATCACTAATGTGAAAATATGTTTAATAGGAATGTAAATGTATAGCCTATAACAGATTGTGCACCGTCTTGGGGAGGGTGGTGAGGAGGAAGGGGGAGAAAAATTTTAAACTCAAAAGCATATGGAAGTGATTGTTGACAAATCAAAATAAATTAATAAAATACATTTAAAAAATAAAATAAAAATTAGAATGGAAAAAAAAAGAAAAAGAGTCCATCAGCCATGAGCTCCCTTATCTCCCTCACTCTCTGCCTTAGAACTCCTTGTCTTGGCCAATGATCAGAGATCTCCTGGCTGCCACCAGTTGTCTTGGTCCTGGTTGCTGGGTTCAAAGGATTCACTTTGTCTGACACAAGGCGCAAGTTCATAGTTGCTTTGCTTGCATAAGCTTTATTCATGGATCATAGATTTGGAACTTGAAAGGAAAGTATAGCCTTACTAAATTATATTTCCTTCTTTGAAAAAAAAACTTTATTAAAAAACACTTAATGCACATGACCAGGTCATCTTTACAGAATTCCTCTTGGGAGGAACTGAGCTTACTGACTTCCAGTGACTCCCTAATCACCTCTAAAAATATAGACACACATATAGACACACATACATGTATGTCCATAGGTGTGTGTGTGTATGTACATATATGTGTGTATGTGAAACTGGAAATGGAGGAAGGATAGGCTAGGGATAGGAGGAAGGATATCCTTCCTCCATTTCCAGTTTTCTTTCCCTTAGTTCCCCAATGTGTACTCTTCCATCTAGTGATAACTAGCCTACTTGTAGTTTCTTCCCTGTGACACTCCCATCTCTCATCTCTTTCATACCAGCTGTCCTCTGTGCCTGAAATGCTTTGTCCTCCCTGTTAGTCGGCCATTGTTTATTAAGAATTTTTACTCCATGCTAGGCCCTGTGCTAAGTGCTGGGGATACAAATACAAACAAAAAGAAAGATGTTCTCTGCCTTCAAGGAGCTCACATTCTGATGGGAGAAGATGATGCGTAAAAGGAAGCAGAAGAAGGAAGGGTGCTGGAGAGATGATAGGAGAAAAGTGGTGCAGTTTGGAGAGCAATGAGACATGAGTTCTCCTTAAGTGGAAGTTTTGGAAGGAGCCATCCAGTCAAAGGGAGAGGCTTCAGGGCAAGAGGGTATTTCCAATGTAGGAATTCTAGTGCTGGAGGGAGCCTTTTCCTTGTCTTCCTTAAAGGCTCAACTCAAAGGCTACCTTCTGAAGGAGGTTTTCTTAGTTTTCTCAGCAGCTGATGTCTTCCTTGTTCAGACTCTCTTCCATCTACTCTGTATCTGTCTTTATATACCTAGTTATTTGCACATTGTTTTCTTTTTTTTAAATTTTATTATTAATTAATTAATTTTTGATTTTCAACAATCACTTCCATAAGCTTTTGAGTTTTAAATTTTTCTTCCCCTCCCTCCCTCTCCCCTCAAGACATTTGTACATATACATTCCTATTAAACATATTTTCACATTAGTCATGTTGTAAGGAAGAATTGGGACCAATAGGAGGAACCACAAGAAAGAGGAAACAAAACAAAACAGAGGAAAAAAATAACAAATAGTATGCTTTGATCTGCATTCAAACTCCATGGTTCTTTGTATGGATGTGGATAGCATTTTCCATCATGAGACTTTTGGAGATGTCTTAGATCCTTGCATTGCTGAGAAGAGCTAAGTCTGTCAAAGTCAGTCATCGAACAACATGGCTGTTACTGTGTACAATGTTCTCCTAGCTCTGCTCACTTCACTCAGCATCAGTCCATACAAGTCTTTACAAGTTTTTCTAAAATCTGCCTGCTCATCATTTCTTATAGCACAGTAGTATTCCATTATATTCATATACCACAGCTTGTTCAGCCATTCCTCAATTGATGGGCATCCTCTCAATTTCCAATTCTTTGCCACCACAAAAAGAGCTGCTGTAAATGTTTTTGTACATGTGAGTCCTTTTCCCATTTGTATGATTCATTGTTTTCTCTATTTCTCTAAGCTCCTTGAGGGCAGATACTGGGGGGTTTTTTTGGTTCAATTGTTTTGGCTTTTCTTTGTATCTTCAGTGCTAAACACAATGTTTGGCATGTTTTTGTTGTTGTTGAGTCTGTTTTCTGTCGTGTCCAACTCTTCATGACCCTATTTGGGGTTTTGTTGTCAAAAATACTAGAGTAGTTTGCCATTTCT